ACAGTAGGATGTAGAAGGTGAAGCCGAACGCAAACACAAATAGCACCACCAGGATAAGGGCCTATCGGGGGCAAAGCAAGAAAACGAGAGGTGGTGAAAAGGATAGATGATATAAGAGTTTTCTCGATCGTCCTCAACGAACCAGAGCCACGAGGTTAAACTCAACAGATGCGTCAAAATGTTTGCATCCATGCTAAGCAAGTTTCATACAATGCGCATTGTGCGGTAACTATTGTTGCATTCAAATACGCAGTCCTGACGCTGTAAAAAAAAACTGCAAGCCATAATACACTCACCCGAAGTGCAGATTTGAGTATATGATAGAACATGGACACGTATATACCAAGTGGGGTAGACCTGAAGAATGGCAAACACAATGGCATACATACATCAACACACAACTGGCAGCTTGATTATACATCTTCAGAAAACACAAACCCTTTTAGGATGGTTGCAGTCGAGTAATCACAGAGAGGATGTAAAGCTAATCAGTGAAGTAGTTCGCTACACACAGGGTTGATCAATCACAGTGATGAATGCATTTACTTAGTATCACATTTTAATCAATCATGCATACGTTCTGCCATCTGGCCAAGGGTACAGCCCATGCCCATAGTAAAGTGTGGATAGGTTTTGTACTAGTATAGAACCCATTCGATAAACGTCACAATCACGCGAACCGGGGACCCAGGAACCAGGGAGTGGCAAGAGGCCTGCACTCAGTGCACAGTGGACTCTGCGAGCGAACATGGGAGTAGAAAAATACCGGTATTTTACTACTTCCTTGTACAAACTTGACCTTTCTTGCCACTCGTTTCTTGTATGTGTGCCCTAGCGTACGACAAATCCCTGGAGGCGAGTCCAAAAATCACGTTATCGAATAAGGCCTATAGCAAAGTGCGGGTATGTTGTGTACTGTAGTGTACACTATACATAATATGCCGAGTACGCCAGTCTTGCTCACCACTGCACACACAGTATGATGTTGACCCAGGAGAGGAAGACTGCCACGCTACCCGCCATCCACTGCAGGGGATGAGGCTGCGTGTAGGTGAGCGGTGCTACAAACACCACACTGGGTATCACAATGGCCCACTGCAGATAGTTACTGGCATAGTGGAAGTAGCGCTTGCGCTGCATAACACACACACAACACATCACACACAACACATCACACACAACACATCACACACAACACATCACACACAGGTCCACAACAGAGACATATGGACCGTAAAGTACTGTGAGAATGCCCCACCTTGATTTTACAGCCAAGAGGAGGAAAAATTGTAAGGCAGAGTGCTACTATTTAAAGTTTGTATGGAGTGAGAACCTATACTTGCTATGTTTTTGTGTGGAGCTCGCATCCTCTCGAAGGTAAATTGAGTAAGGATTGACTGCACAAAGTACAATGTGTGTACACGTTCCATGTTGTACGACCTACAGACAGGACACCACCTCCACAAGGCGATAATGAAAGGACGAGATGGTGGGGCACTTTCGCGGTAATTTACGGTACTCGTTGGACCGATGCAAGAGATACAAGCACATAATGATCACTAGTGGGAGACAACGTGACCGAGTATGAAGCAATGACGGAGTATGCAAGTGGGCTGGGGGGTGATGGCATGCCCCAGAGCCCTAACACCATAGACTAGTGCGTACCATTCTGATCATCTGTGCGATCTCACCAACAATCAGCAGTGCACACATCGTCAGCAGACTGGTGCGTAGACCAGTAAACCCAGCGCCCTGCAGCAGAAACATAGCAGTCAGAATTCAAAACTCACTCGATGGATCGGCTACACAATCGATGGATTGGCTACACAATCGATGGCAGTGCTCCTATCTCTCGGTTCTTGGGGACACACGCCATCCAAAAACACCTCACTGGCAGCAGAGGTTGAAGGATGGCATGCATCCCTTGTTCACCAAGGCTAGAACATGAATAAAACATTGGGGAATACGTGGCGCACGTCTTCAGAGTGCTCATATCCTTCTTCCAATGAACGTTTTCGGTATGAAATGTCTAAGGAATTTCAACTTGGCTTCGCGTTCTGAATTTGCAGATTGGTAGATCCTGAATCCACTTCCAGTTGATGTACACATATTACTGATCCTACAGTTGGGTCAAAATCAGGTTTGAAAAGCTCCAGGTGCAGTATGGTGAGGGGTTTATGATGGCCAGTCGTACGCATCTCAAATATCTGCAATGAAATGTACACTTCCCGAAGTGACACCAACTTGAGATCCACCTCTCCTTTCCACCAACACTACGTACATTAGACAAAGGAAATGCTGTGAACGTGGAGCTGTTGCAGGCATTCTTGAAGCATGTGCCGTTTTCGACGCCCATGCTGACATTGTTGTTGTCTCCTTCGTCAGTGTCTTGCAGTGGTTGCTTGTTGACTGTGACAAACGCCAGTAGCAGAGCCAGGAAGACGATGCACAGGGCAAAGTACCAGTAGTTCATCATCTTCACATAGCCTTGCCTGAAGTGAGGGGCCAGCCAACACACAAAACACATAAGACAGGAACATTGTATTGTGATCAAGCTGTGAGGAGATTGTGAGGAGAATGTCACGTCACCATAAAGTGTATTCAGTAAAAGGAATCATGTATGAGTAAAATGCAGGAGATACACCACAGGTTCAGAAGGTTTTAAGGACAGTGGAACTTCAAGTAGTCAGGCCACAGACTAGTAGATGAACCACACCTCCTGCTGCAACTAACTTCAACAAGTACTGGTGTGCATGATAAGCATACACACAGATTGAGTCACCCACGGCCAAGTCAATAATTCCCTTTCGTTAACCATTGTGCAAACTCAAGCTGGATACAAATCTATTTCATTCCTTGGAGCTGAACGCTTTAAAATGCGCTTCCCGAATTCCTTTGCACAAATCTTATCCCCAATTCATTTTGCCGGGAACTTAACCGTGACATTCATTCATCTTGGGCACCCTGTAAGAAGACCTAAGGGTCTGTTAGGAATGCCCAAGTAAAATAATAAAATACAATACAAAATACAATACAAAACAATAAGCAAACACAAGTGTCTTATTTGATGCTAACATACCATTTACAGTCCGCCCACTCCTTGATGGTAGGATGTAACAAGAGCTCATGACGATTGCATTCGATGATTGCCTGTTAGCGTGGCACAAGACAAGCAAGACACCGTCAACAGGGAAAGAGAGTATCGAATCACAATCAGCAATCATGATACCAAGGACCAGTAGAAGATTTAATGCTGTAATGTCGGGTTTCAAACAAAATTCCTCGGTGTGAAAATCTAAATGCGCACAAAGCATGCCAAATTTGAGGATGATTACAGGGTCCAATTTCCACAGAATACTAGTCCACAACGGGAGACGCTTGTCTTTGTTGTGAATCTCTCAGCAACAAGGTGAATGTCTCAGTACTCCTTGTCAGTTTTGTGCCATGTTGTTGCACTCGCTGACTATATAATGATCTGGTTACGTTGGTGGACAGTTAGTCCTAACTCGTAACATTTTGTCCCTCTCCTTTTTTACCCATAACAAGGTGTATAGTACAAGATGATTGTGTTGCCTACCTCAATCAGTGTCGGCTCATTGCCACAGCACGAACGATCATGTTTCCAGTACTTGATCAGTGCATCGGTGGCACTGATCTCAGCCTTTTCACTCGCGTACCTCATTCCAGTCGACCCGCCTGGACCGTCAAAGTTACTATGGATACTGCCGCGTGAACCATACCGAGCATACTGCGAGGCTTGAGAAGGAATTCCCAGATCGCGACTTGAACCGTCCGCTTCGTCTTCGCCGGGCGGTGAGGCAGGTGATGGACGATTCGACAGTCTGCTCGTCATGCGTGAAAACTCCGTTTGCGCTCCGGATAAGTCCAGGGTGTGTCGCTCATCGGGGTCGGTATCGGAGTCTTCACGGAGCACCGAGAATTTCCGCCGTGCGTTGCCACTCACTTTTCTTGTTGTTCTAGGCGAGGTTATTGAGCCAAGGAGATCATTCTCGGTAAAAGGTACCGGAGTCTTTCGACCTGCTTCATCACCATCACCGTCCGCTGTGTCTGCATTGTCCCAGTCTATGGACGGTTCACGGGAGAGCTTTCCGCGCGTGGTACTGGACTTGACGCTAACGTTCTCTGACACCGGACTACTGTCCAGTGCGAATGAACACACGGTTTCAATGTCCTCTACGGCTGAGGTCCTCTCATCATCCTCACTGTCAGCATCAGTGTCCAGCCGGGCATCATGCCCATTCTCTGACCCATTACTGAACACAGAGATCGAGTCCAATGACAACCGCGCCGACCCGTTACTAGTCGGTGTAGCGCTATGCTGCGCTGATGTGCCTGGACTATCAAAGTCGGCTTCATCCCAGCCACCGTCCGTTGCGTCATCACCATCAGTGGTGTCCATACCAGCGACTTGCACTACAGTCCTAGCCTTGCTGGCGGGATTGCTCTGTCTGCGCAAAGTCCCAGGAGCACTGCCTGTGCCAGTGTGGCCTGGCGTCGGTCTGTTTCGGCTGCTACGGTTAGAGGCAGTGACGGTGCACGGATTAGTGTTACTTCTCTGCCTTGGCGTACTCATGCGCGAAGGCTTCCAATCTGGAACTCCCTGCCGTGATTGCTGAGTGCGGATGGACTGCAGCAGTGCAGCTGGCATACTGTATGAGCGATCTGGTCGTCCGGGCAAGACATCATCATCAAACGAAAGAGAAAGTCCCGAACTGAGGGAGTCTGGTCGCCCTACAGGACTGGAGAGAGTTTGTCTGCAACATCAAAGCAGACATGGACAGATGGATAGATAGAAAGTTAGATAGATAGATAGATAGAAAGAGTGAGTGAGTGACAAAGACATCAATGATCAATGCAAAGGAACACTATATCACCAATTCTGGTATCATGCACACTGTCAACAATCATCCCCGTAGACACACACACACGCACGCACGCACACACGCACGCATGCACACACACACACACATACACACATGAACACACATGAACACACAGAAACGCATACATGCACACATTCACACATGCACACGTGAATAAAGGACACACACATATTATGTTACCTGGCATGGTAGAGGCTGGCTCTGGACTGCTGGACATAGTGCTGCGGATCACTAGCTAATTGCTCCTCAGTCAGCGGTTCAACAAGATCCTCGGGGCACTTTTGGTAATATAGATAGTAGAGATGATTCACAATCTTCACAGAGGGAAGACGGAAAGAGAAAGAATCCGTACATACAATGTTAGTCAAACATTCTTACAGGACCACTAGCCTTATACAGGAACACTAGCCTTATACAGGACCACTATACAGGAACACTAGCCTTATACAGGAACACTATACACAGGGACTAACAAGATGATCATGTAAGTAGATAGGATTGCGAGTTTGTTGCTCTATCCAGAATAGAGAGGTGGATCACAGCCTTCACAGGGCACATGGCATAGTGGTGCTTTCAGAATGCAGAAGATGCAATATTTGCCCTTGTCAAAAACGTGTCTCCTAGCACAATGCTACAGTGCTACTACCGCTTAGGTACAATCTGTTTGCTGTATCAGCTATAAGTATCAGTCCGTGTCCACCAGTTCAGAATGATGACTAGGCAAACAAAATTAATATGTTGCTACTGGAAACTGTGTGTTGTGTGTGCGTGTGTGCATAATTGTATGTGTGTGTGTGTGTGGGGGGGGGGGGGGGGGGAGGAGTGCATGTTGCTCCCTGCTATTTTGTGCACGAATAAGTCTAGTCAAACTTTGTTGTTCAGTACAGGCACAGGTACTGAGACCTACCTGTTTGTTACCTTCACCGTCTGTATAGGGCACAGCAAAGCAGTCCAGCAATGTCTGCAAGCCACACACCAGCATCAAAGCGGCACACAGCACACGGTACGGTGCTTGACATTATGTATACACTGCTTGTGATCTATCCATGTGTGTCATTGGACATGTTCAGTCCGTTCGGTCTGCGAATTCAAATAAACAACCACCATGTGAGCTATCCATGTGAGCTATCCATGCCTCTGGAGTGCTGGTATGATTGTACACAGCACTGCTGCACGGAATGCCTGTACTTTCACAACTTCTACCGGCCATGATGCCCGAAGGACCACTTGTACATTAGGCTGGTCATGCATGACCGTGAGTCAATGTCACCACATTCTGCACCACACATTGCCAAACGACAGGACCGGTTGAAGTAGTTTTGACCATACAAACGCCTTTCATGCTTTGTGTATGATACGCACGATGGGTATACATGACTATTTCACCAGTACTATACAGGCGCTGGTGGCGAAAAATTTGTTTGGGACATGGTCTAGTTTACGGCCGCATTCCAGAATGTACCAATGTGCCAAACATACCGGCATGGCACGGGGAGTCTTCTTCAAGATTGTGTACGCCACAAGCTGCTCGGAGTTGTTGAGGAAATACCTCCAGCTACAGACAAGCAGGTCAAAAACAGAACGCATGATCAGACAAGCATTGAACCACAGACAGAACGCATGATCAGACAAGCATTGGGTCACAGAGGATACACATGATCATCACTGATAGAATACACTTCAAGATCTAGATTGATCATTTGCTTACCATCCCGTTCTTTGCTGCTGAATCATTTTGTTGTTGTTGAAATATTCTGGTCCTGTTCTGCTGGTGCACATAATGACCATTTACCTTTTGTTTTACGGTGAAACCCACCCAGAACAGCCTCTGATAAGGCAAACACTACAACTCAATGGTTGAGGATTTGGATTTTCGGAATTGTTTACTTTTTGCAGTGCAGTGGGACTTGCAGTTACATCAATGTTCTAGAAGTACAGTAAAACCTGTCAAAGCAACCACCCTGCTAAGGCAACCACCCTGATAAGGCAACCACTCTGATAAGGCAACCACTCTGATAAGGCAACCACTTGTTCTAGAGGACCACTACAAAGGCTAGTACGAAGGGGTACTACTTTCCAATCAAATGACCCTGGATGAGGTGACCACCTGTACACAGGGATTATATTTGAATGGTCTTCTGCGTGGGTCGCCTTAGACAACTTCCACTGCATAGGAATCAAGTGACTGGTATAGTGGGCAAGACAGGAACAGACAACCAGATCAGTTGAACTTACTCCTCGGAGCTTAGCAGTTCTTTGACGATTTCCGTGTGGCCGCACTTGGCAGCAATGTCCAGTGGAGAAAGACCATCCTTGTTGCCGATGAACTCCGCCCCGTGAGCCAGCAGCAGCTTGACCATGTTCCCGTGACCAGAGCTGCAGGCATTCAGCAGTGGTGTCGTCTAAAGTGTTGCAGGATATGATAGAGAGTAGAATAGGCACACATGACAGCGACTTCTAACTCCAGCTATGTGGCCTTGTGTTCGGGTGTGGACGGGGATAACGGTAAAAATGTTCATTTCGGAGAAAGACGTTGGTAATTATTATGGGTGGTCTCTCACAAAATGAGAAGAGACACAGACATTCCCTTTCTAAAGGAGATAGATCACCATCAGAGATACAGTTGACTCCTCAAAGTGTTGCATTACCCCAGTACAGTGTCAAAATGAGATCACACAAACCCCGGGTGGGTATCCCAGAAGCAAATTACCCTCACCTCATCTACATCCTGCAGATTCACAATGCCAGGTGCATAGCGCAGCAGCACTTGAGCAATGTGCACTGATCCCCTCTCCGCAGCGTAGTGCAGTGGAGTACAACGGTTCAGATCCTTGCTGCACGGGTGCACAAGTGGGGGATGAACAAGAAACAACAGGAACAAGTCTGATTGTCCGCATTAAATTAACCCTAGCATGCAGAAATCTCCTAACAAGTGGATGGGGAACATTACTAGCTTGGCGTAGTTGGTAGTAGTACCCAGAGGCTCTTCAAGTGGCAACTAAACAACCACAAGAGGGGTTTTCGAATGCACAAATCAAGTCTGTAGTGCTGGCAATACTGACCAATACTTTGCAATTCCGACAGGATAGAGGCGATAGGCCTGGCTTGATAGTTCATACTTAGAGCCAAACATACAGGAATCTTGGCTCACCTGTCTGGTGAGGCTCCCGATTCCAGTAGCAGTTCCAGGACATTGGCATGATCTTCAATGGATGCCCAATGGCACGGGGTCAAGCCTGATGAGTCTTGCTTGTTCACCAGCTTCAGAATCATGTCACCAGAGAGGACACGGATGATGCGGCGAATGATACGCGATCGTCCATACCTGCATGTGCAGAGCAGTACAGTAGTACTAGTACGTTGAAAGTAATGACACAGCCGACTTGCAGTCAGATGTGCTTGACTTTGGACTATTTTCATATCATATCCACTCAAAAAGAGAGCATGTACAATGACAAGTCAGATCGTGGAACAGTCGATCCCGCAGAAGGTTCCACCTGATCACAAGTCAACAGATTATCTGTTGGTCGACCTTGAGTGTGTTGAGTATCACAGCGGCATACACTGTGCTCCATGGATAACATTCATAGTTGCCAGAGAGTGGTGTGCGTGTGATACAAGCCACTCACGGCGCATACGAAACCCTTAAACACGAAAATGTATAATATTTGAACCGAGTTACGGTGAGAGGAATTTTGCATGGCGGATTACTCACTGAGCAGCAAGGTGCAGAACGTTTTGACCCTCATGCGTAACACTCTCAATGTCCACTAGTAGCTGGGAGACATCGTTTTCAGCTCTCAGTTGCAGCAGAGCACTCAACACCTACACATGGCAGAAAACATGGAAAACAACAAAACATCATACCATGGATTGAATTAGTTCTAGCTTCACCACATGCGCTCTCTAGCTATGGTTCTCCTATAACTATGGATTGAAGGAGTGTAAAGTACAATAGTTAAAAAACAAATCATGCGTAGTTATTCACCAACTATCCGGAAATTCCAAGGAGAAAACTTGACAACTTGGCAATGTGACCCGGTGGGACGAAACAGATTTCTGGGCCCTTTTTGTAATGCAGTTCAGATGTATTTATGTAATATAAAGCTTCTGTAAGTACTTCCAATGAGTCATAGGTATCCACAATGACTGGGCTGAGCGCAAAGCATGAAATTCGCCTACTACACGTACATCCAGACAAAATCACACTCTGTTCCAATGCCTCCTGTTAACTCCTATGGATGGGCGGGCCACTCACCCCAATGTGGCCTCGTTTGGCTGCTAGATGAAGCACTGACCAACCGTTGACGTCCTTGGTCTCACACATTCGCCGCCTCTCCTGTGTCGTCTTCGCCGACTATATTTCAAATTACAACCACACAGTCAAGACCAGAAGAACAAGAGTCGCCCTTGCTGATAGGGTAACCATGTAAGCACACATCACAAAACTAGTGAACTGGTGACAACAACACACGCACGCACGCACACACACACACACACACACACACACACACACACACACACACACACACACACACACACATAAGAAGTGAGTACTGTTAGCCCGACTAGCTACTTCAGGAGTGTGAAGATTTTTGTAAATGTAAAAAAGAAGAGAACACATGGGAACGAGTTACGAAGCAACTATCCACGGCTGTAACAAGATGATAAGCAGTCAGAACGTGCGATAACAGGGCACAAAACTGACAGGCTACTGAGACATTCAACAACCTGAGACCTAGCTCAACCACATCTCCAGTGCGCAGACCAACAGCTTCCAACTTGGACAGTTCACGGTTTTCTTCTTTTTTTTTTTACATGTTATTACTGGCTCGGCATCCGAGTTAAAGGCACGCCTGTGCCTGTCCGGTACATGTTCCATGCCATAAAGAAATAGTTCAGCAACAATGCTCTCAGTGATCAATCATTGTGTGGAGCAGCAACACAGGGCGAGTGCACAACAACATTGAAACAAACAACCACAACCTACATTGAGCAGTCTTCTTGCAATCGCTCCGCCGACGCGCGATTGATTATTTCGCACGGCCGAGTGCAGTGCAGTGCGATTGCTGCCGTCCGACGCAGCCGGGTTGACACCGGCACGCAGCAGTATGCTGATGAGCTGCTTGGCGGTCTCGGGCGGGCAATGCTGTGACACGGCCATCAGAGGAGTTGTTCTCTTTTCACACACCGTGCGTGTATTGGCGCCCTGAGTACGTGTAGACACAAGGACAAATTAGGCTTCAAAACAACTGTCCGGTTTTCATACGCAGTAACACCAGCCATGCACAGACTACTGTAAAGTGAGGAAATTTCCGCGGCGTTTTTAGTTCGCGTTTTCAGAATCCGGACAGGTTTGCGAGGTTTTAATTTTGCGATTGCAGAATTTGCTACTGTGGCATTCATGCTAAACCTTTTATGGATCTCCTTTTCGCGCTGTCTAAATTTCGCGATTTCCGCGCGGTCGCGAATTTTGCAGAAATTAGACCATGGCAATAATTTCACGGTTTACAGTATTCATATTAAGCTTGATGCTGAAATTCATACCTCAGTTTGGAATACCAGTGTCATCTTTTTACGTAAGGTGATTCCACAAGGTCCGTGGCCTTTAACCCTTTCACTGCCGCTGTCGACTGCAGTCGACAGCGCATTCATGCACTCCGAGTGCCAGTGTCGACTTGCGTCGACGAGTAAACATGCAGTCCCCAGTGCTGTTGTCGACTTCCGTCGACAGGCAGACCTCACCCAGTTCGTGCCTCTATTTTCGAATATTGGAGATGTTTAGCCATGGTAGACGGCCACTGGCCCCTGGAAGATGTCCATACCCATCGAAATACGCTTCCAGAAGTATGGGTTGCCATTTGAAAAAAATCGAACCAGCGTCGTTGAAAATGCGCATCCGATTTTTAGCCGATCGGCGAGGAAGAAATCGGTTCTCACGCACTTCCACCTCGCTGAGTCGGTGCGAGTATTTTCATCTTTCCCGTCAACTTTCATTGCAGGGAGCAAGGAATTTGGTTCAGACTTGATGCCTAGCTATTACCCAAGACTCCAGGCGGCTATCCGTTGCGATAGGCGGTTGGAGTCACGGGTAGAGACAACCAGACGATGGATTCCTCGTGGTCGCATTCACTGCAAACTTGACGGAAACAGCGCTGGCGGCGGTCACTGGGTCCAGAACTAAAATTTTCTAAGAACTACCACGTTACAATGGCGACCAGCACGGTCAAGAGACACTACAGGTATGTCAGCTACAACATAATTATATTCTTTCTACAACGACACCTACCTCTGGCTCAATACCTGACGATCTTCTGCAAGCTGATGCGAAAGTGAATTACACTCGCGAACGCCGCGCTTGTCAACGGAACAGGGAAGCGCTTCACTCTCCGAAGTTGAAAAGTATTTTGGACTGTTGCTAATTGGGAGAACAAACGACCACCATGGCGGCAGAACATTCCGCAGCCGTTCACCAACACGATCCGCTTCACCAAACGACATACGAACGTTTCGTTCTCCGAGTTCCGTTTCTGGTGGCAGCAACAAGAATTTCGTCCGCAACGACAGGACGAAAGTCTCTCGCAACTGAAGTCCTGTTGCCACGAAGATAGAGAAGATTCCGCAAGCCATCTCTTCTGCTTCCAGTGTTTTATCTCTCCTGTCCACTGGCATATCTTTCAATCCCAGCGACAGAAAAAAAGGATCTGCTTCTCTCTCCAAAACAACAACTAACTTTACTTCGCGAGTGTCCGGGCCGATCGTGTACATAGTGTATGTAGCGCATGCGGCGCACGGCGCACTTTCGCATGACATGACACGCATTTTTTGCACAGCGGCTGGCGCTAGATCGCGCAGCACGTTTGTACTTCGGATTTTGCGATTTTTTTCGACGGCAATGGCTTCCTTTATGAGTTGTCTACCTACGATGTACATGTATACTTTGGAAAGCGATATTCCGTACAGAAAGTACCAAAAAATCCAGGAAAAGTAGGCCTTTCGATTTTTCGAGCTGGAGGTAAAAAGTGCCTGGCAGGGAGGGGGTGTACAGATCAGCTGACAGCCTGGCAGGGAGCGCCTTGTCACCTTGAGTGGTCAGCTGGCAGTGAAAGGGTTATTCTATATAACCGCGGGAGTTTAGAGCTAAAGATCCACACATATTGAGCGGGTAAAGAGCATTTTGTAGATGGGGATGGTTTCACCTACCTGGCTGGATAGATGCTTGACAATATCCATATGGCCATACATGGCAGCCCTGCAGAGAACAGGATGAAACAGTACTAGTAACAACCAAAGAAGACGCAGATACGGGGACAGCTATACACGAGGAGAATATCCAAACAAAGTACTCACATCTATTGGAATAGTCCTGCAATGATGGTACTGCTCAATTCGCCGGGTGTAGAGTATTCGATGACTCAGCTGCGTGAATAAATACATCTAGCTCATTATTCATACGCATACACACAGGCAGACGCATACACTTTTCTAATTGTCCGCAAACTCCAACGCAGCCACTTACACATTTTAAGGAAACTTCACTTCTCAACTCCAAAACGGTCTCTTCACTGCGATTAAAATTAAAATTAAGATTTACACTACACCAAATTGTTGGGCCTGGCCCATCATCAGAGTACTGAACATACAGGCATGAACATGCGGAGTTGTGACCTGACTGGTTTTGTCTTGCATGAACGACATAAAAACTACTAGGGTTTGGTTTAGTAACCTGTGACTGTACTGACTGTAGAAAAGACAGCCACAACCCAACCTAGGATCCAGGGTAGTTCCAATCGGACATTGGTCGTTGATGTGGAACACGATCTTTGCTGTCCGACTCACAGGTAAAATGCCGTCCGCCCTTCATTGTCGCCGATTTCCACCTGCTCGCGTATCTTTATACCAATATCGCCGTTGTTCAACAGCCATTTGACAATGTCTAGATGCCCCATCACGCAAGCGGTGGACAGCACTGTGCGGCCATTCTCCTGAACAGGAACACATCCAGACAAGTTCGCAACCGAAGCAAATATGATCTCTAGTCATCAGTGCAGCCCAATAACGGCAAGAAAAGCCCTCAAATATCAAACAGGTACATTGGCGTAAAGATTGTAACGGGAAAAACTTGGTTTCAGGCTTTCAGCGTCCACTCATGGTACAAGCCTATTTTGGTCTGAGTAATAATAAGAGTGGTCTCCAAAACACTTGTAAATTTCACCCATCTGGTGGCAAAGTGAGTGGTAATGGACAAGTCAGCTAGGTGATTGCCGAGACTTGTCACTCGCTTGACCAGGTGCTTCATGGATGCAGAATCATGTGACAGCAAAACCCGTCAAGGGGACCTCTCGGATAAGGCAACCAAGGGGACCTCTCGGATAAGGCAACCACTTGTTCCAAGAGAACACTGCACCTAGGACTAGAACTACAGTGCATTTCAAAACTATAGACGCGTAGGGTTTTTGAAATATTTCAAATTTGGCTGGAACGTTTTGAGAATAGTTTTCGGAATATTGCTCAGGATCGCTCCACAATTACTCTCATATAGTTTCTAAAGGATTGGATAACAGACGCCCAATTTGGAAAAATGTATGCACAAAGTGATCACAGATTTTATGTGGTATAGATGCTGGCATAACGGTTTTTGCCTAGGTACGCGTCTATAGTTTTGAAATGGATTGTAAGGGATGGTATTTCCAGTCACATGAACCTGGACGAGTAGACCACCTGGAAACAGAGACCACGCTTTGAAGGTTCCCTGGCGGTCGTCTTAGACAGGTTTCACTGCAACTATGCATGGCTGCTGCCCTTGCATGACAGCCTGTCATTCTAACTAGAGTAGTATTCTTACATCTTTAGAGTCCAAATCCACGTCTTCTTTGATGCAGGCATTGGCCAGCTTTCGTAACGACTGCAGCATGGGAAAACAAACAGGCACAAAGTCATCACTGACTGCTGCAAGTGGTAATGACAACGATGAAGATTTTCATGCTGTGCCTCAGGTTTTTGCTGCAAACAGTGCTCGATCCCCACACAAGGGCAGAGCATGCTCACTACACAAGGCAGAACAATAGAGACCAACATCGTCATCGATGATAACAACTTTGCCTTGTGATGTACATGCTGAAATAGTTGTCGTTGTGGGAGAAAGATATGTCTTACTGCATGTTGGTCATTATAGTGACATGGTGGGTATCTAAACACATCAGCCAGATTTTTGCATAATTGACTTTGACCAGAGAACGGACAGGAACATCAGTGGTCTGGCTTTCGAATGTCCGAAGCATGCGTGCATGTTCAAGTTGAGTACTGTAATTTCACAAATTTTCGGTGTACTTTTATTTTCGGTACTTTCGGTGCGTCTGTTTCACACCTAAAATTTCAATACACCAAACAAACACTAACACACATAATCCAATAGGGAACTGCTTCTCTGTACCGACAATTTCTGTTCACCTAACCTAGCCTGTTGCCTTCATACTGAAAATATTGGGCACCGAAAATTTCTGAAATTAGAGTAACCGTTCTGCGGCTCACTAACCATCAGTCGTCCATTCCTGGCAGCGGTATGGACTGGCATTTGATCCTGAGCATTTTCCTTGGCCAGGAGATATGCTGCTGAACTGCCGTAGTCAGTAGCTGTAGGAATGGGACAAGAAGTAATCTATGACAAGAAGCCTATACAGTCCTGCTGGGCGCCGAAGAACGGAGCACCGAAGAACGGAGTACCGAAGAACGGAGCGCCGAAGAACAAACGGGCTAGGATTTCACCATGCACAGCATACCAATGTATACAAAAGGTGACTCAACTGTGCATAGACTGGAGTACAGTCAGACCCTGCTTATCCAGTCGGATCCCCCGCCATCCGGAAGAAAATCGTTGCTTACCGATTTAGAGCACATGGCATGCATGCATACAGTATGTGTGTTCGAATATCCGGTTCCCTCGCCTATCCGGATACATTTTGTGGAAAACGGATGTGTGCCGTTAAGCGAGGGCTGACTGGACATGAAAATAAGAACGGACCAGGCTACGAAGCTGACTCCCCAGTTCTTCGGCAACCGACAGTACTGTACTCTAGGTTACATTGGAATGTTGTGCTCCTACTCCTAGGCAAACCGGCATGATTCTGCCATCCCCAGTTCGCCCACACTGTACATTGCAGGTGAGTCGGACAACTGGTTTATTACATGCCAGGTAGCCAAGTAATTCACCCATAGTTGTTGCTTTACTGTGCGACACTACTGAGTATACAGTAACACCGTACGTGCGGGGCCATATAACAATGAAGCACTTCAAATCCACCTTGGGCTATGCCCTTACACTGAAACACACTGGCTAATGAACAGGAAATGGGACAAATTCCTGCGCTCCATGGACAGCTACAGCAAAGATATGGTTAGAAATCTGCATTTACCGTACAATGCTTGTCAATGACAACTTCTCACCCACTCAAGAACTGCACCACAAGTCACATGTTAGAGGTATTGATCAGCTTGGGTTGCCTGCACAGATGTTGATACGTGCAAAATGCATGTCTTACCGTGTTCAAGGATGAAGTCAATGACTTGGCTGCGCCCGTACTCGGCAGCATGGTGCAATGGCGTTCGATACTGCTCATCATCTAGGTCAACACTTCCACCTGCAGCGAGCTGTTTTGTTGTCGACACACACACACACACACACACACACACACACACACACACACAGTGACACACACAGACAGACACACCCAGACAGACAGACACACACACACACAGACAGACAGACAGACAGACAGACAGACACACACACACACACGGATACAGGCATGGGCCAAAACCTCTTTAGCGGTGACCCCGAGTTTCAAGGAATGAGAGCAATCATCCGAGATGGTTTTCACAGAGCAACAAGATATTTAATCAAAGCCAATTAATTATTTTGAAGTGTTTTCACAACATCAGTTCATGCAGAAATCCATGAAGTGGAAAGAATTTCAAGTAAAGACAACACTATTAGTAATGATTCACCCCAACTGTAGACCCTCTCAATGATGTAATAGCTAGCATACTTCAGTGTGGTACAGCTACTGTAAAGGATACTGTACTACTGTAGGCTTCTCACTAGCAGCAATTTAGAACATTCGACCAGTACTGTAAACCGACAAACTTTCGCTGCGTGCAAATTTAGCGTTTTCATAAATTGAGCTGGTTCACGATGAGGGACTTTTGCGATTCTTCAGTCGGATCTTGCACTGTCTACAATCAATGTACGGAGATGTTTGCGGTGATTTATATTCGCGAATGTGTGATGGTCGCGATAATAGCGACATTTAATCTCTAACAAAAGTTTCTGACTTAACAGTACTCCAAACGCCTATCATCAGGTGGAATAGTGGAATAGTGGAATAGTGGAATAGAGGAATAGTGGAATAGTGGAATAGTGGAATAGAGGAATAGTGGAATAGTGGAATAGTGGAATAGTGGAATAGTGGAATAGTGGAATAGTGGAATAGTGGAATAGAGGAATAGTGGAATAGTGGAATAGAGGAATAGTGGAATAGTGGAATAGTGGAATAGAGGAATAGTGGAATAGAGGAATAGTGGAATAGTGGAATAGTGGAATAGTGGAATAGAGGAATAGTGGAATAGTGGAATAGAGGAATAGTGGAATAGTGGAATAGTGGAATAGTGGAATAGTGGAATAGTGGAATAGTGGAATAGTGGAATAGTGGAATAGTGGAATAGAGGAATAGTGGAATAGTGGAATAGAGGAATAGTGGAATAGTGGAATAGTGGAATAGTGGAATAGTGGAATAGTGGAATAGTGGAATAGTGGAATAGTGGAATAGTGGAATAGTGGAATAGTGGAATAGTGGAATAGTGGAATAGTGGAATAGTGGAATAGTGGAATAGTGGAATAGAGGCAAAGAAAGAAACTGAACACGGACAGTGCATTTTATACAGCAGAGGGGTGATAGACACAGCGCAAAGAATAGTACTCAGAAACACAGCACAAGAATAGTACTCAGAAACACAGGATAAAGTGCATAATTTCATACTTTGAAGTACAGTCATCTCTTACACACAGAAGGAAAGACGCAAGAAAGTGCAAGTGTGAAGAAGCTGTAACAAGTGTGTGATGTGTTGCACGACAACAATAGCGGACTAGCACTTGACATAGCTAGCAAGGTTGTTGACGGCCTACACACGCCACAGCCTAGCCAACAAGCTAAGGTTATAAATATTCACAGGGCAGATATCTATAGCCTATTTACAACCAGCCCCCATACCTCAGACCTCAGACTTGCCCATCGCGGAAGCGATGATAGCAAACAGCTATGTTAGACATAGCAACTTGTCCTGGGATTACACCATTCGACAGCTTGCAAGGCTGATGAATTGCCCCCATACAGGATCACCAAGTCCACACATTCACTTAGAGAGAAAATGCACTGTAACACTATGGTCTTACCAATTGCTCCAGCACATCAATATGGTTATGTGCAGCGGCTAAGTGAACTGCTCCCGGGCCTTCAAAGCCAGTCCTCTTGTCTATCCAGCTCTGGCACTTCTCCTTACCATCCTTGAGCTTCTCAAAGCTTTCTATTGCAACCTGCAAAATCACAATAAAGAAAGGTTAAGCGACCACCCCACGGTGCAAGCAAACGCGGTCATTAAAGCCAGGTGGTCTTTCGAACCAGGTCCCACAGTTTCTGTGTAGAACTGTCCATGCATGGGGAAATGGTCGTTAAGAGCAGGTGGTCGCTAAACCCAGAGGTCGCTTACACCAGGTGTAACTGTACATTTGTTACAGGCAAGAGTACGACACACTGTATGTTAATAGGAGGGTACGTATACTGTTTGTTCTTTGACAGGAATCCATGGACATTCACAAACATGGAGAACAGTCAACAGTACATTCGGGATCTCAAGGTGTTGCAAACCTCCCCACTCCCCCCCCCCCCCCCCCTGCACTGCCACAAGCAAATTGATTTCTGAAACGCTACCCACGGCCATGTGTCCAAGTCTTTCTTTAGTCATAGCATGTGTATATGACTGTATGTGTATATGATGCCCTTCCCAACTGTACAGAGCTGTTTTTGCAAACATGAAGTTTCAAACTAGAAGATTGGTTACACATCTTGCGATAATACCTCCCAGTCAGTCACGTTTGACTGCACAGTATTATCTCAAATACAAGCTGCACACTTAACTTCAAGAGCAAAGAAGGTGGTGCGACTTACAATCGAGTGTGACAACCTGCCCATGTGAATGTATTGAAACAGTATGGCTGAACCCTGAAAGTGGGGGTGCCATTTATAATCGAGCTCGACTTAAGACCGATTCACAATACAACATTTTGACATTTTGCTACGCGACATGCGACTTGCGATACATGCGACCGCGACACACGAATCACAATTCGTTTTACCCTTTTGGGACAGCCCTATGCACTGCATGTACTATGCACGTGCACCCAGAGTAGAAGCTGTACTCCATTTGCGAATGTCGCGCGTTGTACGTTGCATAAGTTGAATTTTCTTCAACTTCTGCGACAGGTACCTGGCACGACAGCTCGCGACATGCATTGTCTTGTCGCAATTGCCACAAATCGCAAAGTGGTGTAGTGAATCGGCCTTTATAGTCGGGGAAATACGGTACATCTTACCGTGAGCATGTCTAAGCGCCCTTCCCGTGCCAGGTAGTGACATAGTGTATACTTGTTGCAGGGGTTGATGTGCTGCAATCGTGCCTCGCACATCTCCTTGCTACCGTCCAGCAGTGTGCGTAACATCTTGCAGCGATCGGCCGACACCGGGCTGGGCAAGAGCACAGCCAGCATCACAGGTGTGACACCCTCGCTGTTCTCAGCACAGCAATCTGAAAACAGAGCAACACACTAGATTTAGTACATTAAACTGTGCTCACCTCATTGACCTCGCTCGTTCCTCATTTGCCCATTTGGCTTATGATTTTAATGGTTTTCATGTTCTGTTGTGTAGAATTACAATCCAGGCATCTTGTAGTAAGTACATCAAGTACATAGGAAGAAGACTGTAGCCACAATCTGCATATCTTGCATCACACCATCGCTGATTCTGCTATACAAACTAGAAATCCTCTTAGCAGTAGTGCTATGTATATGTACGTGACTCATGCCTATCACACAGTGTACCAGTACAGGGCAATCGGAACCAGTCAGGTTAGGTAGGTTATCACCGGACCAACATTTCAGCCACCAACACAGTCAAGTTTGCTACTATGGACTTCATGTGTACCCGCCATACAAAAATGTAATAGGTGAGGCGTGAAAGGCACTGAAACTACCGGACCAATCAAAAACTGTTTACGGCGGTCCTGTGTACCCAGACTACTTGAACACCGTAGCAAAATTTAGTAATTATCAATCGCTCCACTGTGCTGACCTGCGCCATGTTGCAGGAGCAGTTTGACGACTTCGATGTCTTGTCTCCTGACCGCCTGGTGCAGAGCGGTGTTACGGTACTGATCTCTTTCATTCACGTTGTTCATACCCGAGTCTATCACCTTCTTCAGGAAGTTGAAGGACACGCACCGGTACACAAGCTGGAAAACAAAATAGAGCAGCAAAAGAAGAGAGAAACATATCTTTGTGATTAAAACTAGGTAACATTTTTTTTGCAAACTCTATTATAGTTATGTGTTTTCCAAATTTCCAACATTCCCTGTACTATCCTGAAGAGAAGGGAAAGAAAACGTTTGATAGAAGGAAGTGTCTACTTGATTGAGTGGATTTGCGTCTTTGTATGCAAATGTATAGCTAGATTGCGAAACTATTTTCACCGCCTCCAAACTACCGCCGCTTGAAAGAATGGAAGAAGAAGATGAGTACTGTTGATGATCTCTGATATTCATAAGGTTGAGGGAGATGAAAACGGGAAAAGTCTGAAGAATAAACATTGATTGTCACCACCAGGACTCGAAATAGAGGCCCTCGCTTGTAGCTAGCGATGCTCTACCACGAAGCTACGGTGTGGTCGTCATCCAAATGATCTCTGAGGCAATGTTTTTCGTCTTGTTTACTTTTCCGGACATTTTTGTTTTCATTCGAATGCCCTTGGGCGCTGCTTTACCTCCAGTAAGGTCAGTAATGCTGCTAGTCTGCCACGATCTAGTTCTGAACAAAGTGGCCTGTTGTAACTGTTCCAGGACTACTAGACAGAAGGTTGGACATAGAGAATTCGGTGCCAATGAAGCTGTACTTATCCACAGCTCCCTCATCATCCCGCATATCCTCACATAGCACCTTGTAATGAAAGTGGTATGTACAGATGGTGAAAAGCTAGCCTGAAGGTACAATAACCACAAGTAGTTCGAATTTATGTAGCCTTCCCTCAAGTTACCAAAAGAATGCGTTGTACACATGGCTATATATGCGCGCTCACACACTCACTAGTAACAACATTCCAGGTTCTCTTGACATTGTATCCTTTTCTGTAAACTCCCTGAACCAATAAATATACAAAGATATGAGATGGATATCGTCTTTATGTAACTTACCGCTGGAAGTGACAGTTGGTGACCATCGTATTCTGTTTTTCTGGATTCTTCACTAGAAGAGTTCCGTGTGAAGAATCTGAAAACACGCATACACATACAACCACAGATATGCGCGCACACGAACGTACACACACAAACACACATACAAACACACACGTCATTGAGTATGTTCACACCACTACGAGTTGAAACTAACGAAGGCCAGTTAGTACCAAACATGGCACCCAGGTGTCGCCGACATGCTTATGCCACGTAATGACCAACCTTATCAACATAACGAAGGGTTACTTGCATTCAAGTACAATCATGTGCTAGTATTGTCATTGTCCATAACACTCTCCTCCTCCTTTTCTTGATATTATCATTGTCAACACAAAAAAATAAAGGAAATCCACAGAATGTTATAGGTTCCACTTATGAATGAAATTCACTTCACCATCGCTATTTCGATGACGACTTTGAGTTGGATTATTTGCCTTGTATAGTAACTGTTGGAAGCTACCCAGGTGTTCGTGATTGCCCAGACATGCCACTAAAATTAGCAACACAGCCTCTGTGCTACTCGGGTGGAAGGAAGGAACTAATTTGCAATAGTCACAAGGCATCAATTCTGACACGCCAATCTCAAACACCGCTGAGTAAATAGAACGTCCATGACCATGTTCGCTATCTTTACCAGGAGAGTTTTCCTCATAGCAAACCAGGTAAATTTGGACTGAGGATTCTATCAATCAGGACCTACCTGCCCAGGATGCTCTGGTTGCTGGCCATTGCGTATAGTATCTCTTGATGAGTTTTTGATAATCTCACGCGCTGCTTACAGAGTATCCTTTCGCACGTGCTCACCGCTCGGGCATGATAAACACCATTTGAACGTACCGTCCTCAACTAAACCTAGGGAGTTGTCTCACAGCCGCAATATTACCTACTCATTACTACGTTAGTCTTCTTCAAGCAGTGCACAAGCCCAAGCGATTCTTGGACCAGAATGAACAAAAATTATACTGGCTACGTAGGTCTAGTGGTAGATCTAACCTCTCACGATTCACCCTCTGATCTTCTTCGCGTGTCCGACAGCGGAAATCCGACGAATCCTGCACATGGTCACAGGATTTATAGCCGCTCCACCATGACATGTACCAACACACAGTACAGCTACAGATGGATTGTTATTTCACACAGTGTGTACTAGTCGTGTCGACCGCCCAACGACACGTCACGGCTCTAGTGGGCACGTGCACGTGGGACTACATACTAGGCCGGGCCTTTACCATGTTTACGGCTTGAAGGCTTTCACAAAGTAAGTAGATCTGTCCTTTCTCAGTTGTTTAGTTTCATGGTAGATCTACATGTACATGTAGATTCGACAGATCTACGTAGATCGGGGAAGCTCCAGCCTCCACTCCAGGGAGTGAGACTTTCTTGAACCAAGAGTAGACGACTTGGCGCGGACAATGGTCGATACTCGTGACAATTCGCGATAGACATGAAATAGGTGTCACTGACAAGAGCTGCTCACGGGCATTGTGACATTACATGTAGTTGCCATTGGTATAGCAGTGGTATACCGGTATGGTGTCGATAGAAGTACAATGTACAACACAGACTACTACCGGTATTACTTGCAAGCAGGGAGTCGTAAAATACCGGTATTTACGAGTCCCTGCTTGCACAGTACAGTCGATCCTTGACCTTCTTTCGGGATTATTCGTGCATGAGCCTGTTACACCACTGTTGTTGCAATGGATCATTTGGGCCAAAGGGTTTGGAGGGAAACTGGGGAAATGTTTAGGAAAGTACTTCCGTAGCTTGTCGCTCGTCACGGCAGAGAAGTATCACCACCTGTCCTCTTCCACTCAGAGTCCGGGCTTCTTCGTCCTGGAGCATCACGCTACTGCCCCGGGCCGGGGGACATATTAAATTTTGTTTATACATTTATATACCAACATTAATTTTGGAAAAAAACGTGCTCACTCTTGCCTGTCATGACGCGTGACGATTGGTGAGCCATGGATGGCATGATTCCCATGAAGCATGAAGCTCGGAGTAACAGGAAAAAGATAGCCTTTGTAATCATGGTAATGTTCCAATGCAAACAGTACACTGAGTCTGTTGTACATTTAGACTAAAACTAGTAAAAGCAAATAATGCTATGCATAAATGGTCTCAGACTCTGAGTGATTTTGCAGTGAATCCGGGCTCTTTCATCCTTTATTATCATTTGCATGAAGCGTCGTTCCGCATGGTGCCGAGTCATTCAAAGATGTTGAGAGGATTCGGCTGTTTCCAGGTGAAACAGGACTTGAACTCATCACATGAGTGCATAGTACTCGTATGTGTGTGACGGGCGAAATCATGATTAGTGTATTTAATACTGCAAAATCACTCAGAGTCTAAGACCATTTTATGCATAGAATTTGTTTTTAGTCTAAATGTACAACAGTGAGTGTACTAGTGTACTGTTTGCATCATACAGTGGAACATTACAAAGGCTACCAGCCACGACTCACGAGTCGCTCAGGCTTACTTCATCGTCGGTCAGTCCATCTGTCGTGCCCAAAAAGCAGATTTCAAGTATTAGGTAAGTAACATAATCATTAGTTCATGTTGTACTGAGTTCAACTGCAGTACATACATGACATGTCTGTACTGTGCACATGACATTTTTAGTAACAGGATACAGGATATGGCGAAAACGGGATCCAGGGATCCGGGATGGCCGGGAAACAAGCCCGCACTTGAAAGACAGTCAGAAATAGACAGATTCCAGAGAATAGGCTACCCATATGGCCATACCCATGACCAAACACTGTGACTGAGAACTATCCATGGCCTGCCCAGGCATGGCATTGTGGAGCACCAGCATTACGATGATTATGAGTACAAATAATTCGGAATCACGCACGGACAGGCAGTATCAATAAGCCCCATGGCCCAGTGCAGTGATATCAAAAATAAATGCATGATGGTATCGTTTAAATACCATGATTACCGGTATTCTGCAATGTAGTGGACTGGAGCATGGAGAGTCCTCAAATCAGAGTACTGTAAAAGAGAGAAATATTCGTCTGGAATTTAATTTCGTCTTTTTCGTCCAAGGAGCTTTTGGACTAAATTAAATGCCTGACGAATATTGATTTGTCCAGCTTTTCAATACACTCTTATGATCCATGGACGAAATTTACAACCGGACGAACTCCCTTTTTTTCGAGTTGGACGAAATTATTGACCGACGAAATTTTCTGCTTTAATAATATACAGTACACTTTCTAAATGTAGTAACTTGTGAATGATGACTTGTATTAGTCTAAAAGTTATAACGCACTGATGGTGTGGCACAAGCATTTTGAAGAAAGAGAAAACTGTGTGTGTGAGAGAGAGTGTGTGTGAGTGAGTGTGTGTGTGTGTGTGGCAGCTTCCACTGCGCCCGCTGCAACCGCTGTGTGCTATCGCGCCAAGGCATGAAACGTCACAAGTGCAGCCGTGGCTCGGCCAGAGCAACCAACACAGACCGTAGCTCCTTCTGCATCGTTTGCAATTGCGGTCGGCGTTTCAGTAGACCACAGGACCTATCCCGTCATCGCCCCTACTGTTCCGAACCTGCTCAACCCCCCATGGGGTCCGCATAGCCAGAATATGGTAGCGCGTCCAAGGTCCAAGGTGTGCGTGTGTGTGTGTGTGTGTGTGTGTGTGTGTGTGTGTGTGTGTGTGTGTGTGTGTGTGTGTGTGAGAGAGAGAGAGAGAGAGAGAGAGAGAGAGAGAGAGAGAGAGAGAGAGAGAGAGAGAGAGGAGGGAGAGCGCAAGAGTGAACACCCGCACTCATCCCAACCCGGGCCCATACTCTTCTTGCACAGTCAGACTACACTATAACACTCTATGTAGAGTTCGGTGGCACATACTGTGACATAGCGCTTGACAACATTTAATTTATCTTTGCAGCAGGACTGACATAGTGGGGCAGAAATTCAATCAAAATTCGCAATTGGAAGGAAATTATAAGAAAAATGCAATGTGGGTCAATGTGCTCAACTAAAGGTTATGCGTGAACAGCAGCAGCAGTGTGTAAAGGCTTCGCTATGAGTAGTCTACGTTAGTGACAGTCATATGCTCTTGCTAAGGTCTATGTGCTGGCTAGAGTTCATTACGGATTTACCGCGAGACAACAATTATTTGACTGAGCTAAATTGGCATGTCCTAGACAGGTGTGTTTGAAAGTAGTCGGCATGATTCCCGAAAGTAGTTACCGGGAAGAACCAAGGTAGCTGCGGCCCCCCGGTGAATTCACAACGGGACGATTTGACGAGGTGGGAATAGCGTCTCAAGGCGAGCGATTAGCATGCTTGCTTGCTATGGTGAGGGGTGAGCAGTATGAGTCAATGTACTAGTTTCTATTCGGCATCTCAACGCTAGGGCTAGAATTAATACCAGTAGCAGTACTATACATAAACTATTCAAATACTACGCCTGCTGGAAATAAGCTTATGCATAAGTGCATCTAGAGTCCACTACTACACAACTGATGGCGTAGTGATCAGTACGGTTCGACTTGAGTATTGATGTCCATTCTAATGTTTGACGGATGACGCGCGATTCATGATCGTCAGTGTTGCCATTGTTGTATTTTAGTGCATTATCCATTGCAAGTTCGGCTTTGTGATGACTCAACTTTAAATTCTCAATAGGAAATGCTGAACTGTTATAGAATTTGTATGTGTGTGGTGGGTGCTGCGTCATTGTTACGCGCTGATGGCGTTGTGTTCGGGTGACGGCTCTTCGAGTGGCTGTTGACTGTTTGACTGGGGTATGTAGGGCAGTGGAGGTGTAAGTTGCGGTGGGGTTTCCGCACTGCTGATGGCCGGTGGGCTGGGCGAGGAGTCGCTGCCGCCACCTAAACACTGGCCCTGCGAGAGTAGCGGGCTGGTCAGACTTCCTCGGCCTGGCTCAATCTTCTGCACACGTGAGCCATGCGGTGATATGACCATAGTGGGCTGCAGTGTGTCGTCAAACACATCATCCGACGGAGTGCTGATGTTCTCCAAGTCACTGTCCGTACCGCCACTGGCGTAGTCCGACGTTCCCACCCCGAACGGCGGCCTCCAGGTGTGCAACGCTTTCCAGAGTCGCCTGAACGGCGGCCTCTCCTCTGCCAGGTCGAACCAGCACTCCTGCATCAGGCCGTAGATGACCGGGGGACACTCGTGCGGCTGCGGCAGGCGCTTGTTCTGCTCCACCACACGCTTGACGACCTCCTCGTTGGACAGGTCGTAGTACGGCACTGCACCGTGAGTGAAGATCTCCCACAGGAGAACGCCAAACGACCAGATATCGGACTCCGTCGTGTGCTTGCCGTACATGATAACCTCCGGCGGCATCCAACGCACTGGCATTGCGGCAAGGTTGCCCTGGGGACGGTAGTAGTCTCGATGAATCAGGCCGCGCGACATTCCAAAGTCGGCGATCTTCACCACATGATTGCGTCCGACCAGGCAGTTACGTGCCGCCAAATCTCTGTGCACGTATCGGCGTGATGACAAATACTGCATGCCATGTGCCACCTGAGCTGCCATGCCGCAAAGGTCTAGCGTCGTCAGGGGCTTATCGAATACACTCACCTCCGTCGAAGTCGACGTGATCAAGGCGCGGTCCTTGTGAATAGAGTCAGCCGACTCGACGGAGAGATTCCTCCCTTTCATGTCGATGGTGGGTCTGCGATGGCGTTGTGCCTCTCTCAGGAAGTGCAGCAAGTCCCCGTACTCCATGTACTCGAAAAGCAGGCACAGTGGCTGCCCAGAGCTGCCATCGGGCACACACACACCGAGCAGCTTGATGATGTTGACGTGCTTGAAGCGGCTGATGACCTGCGCTTCGCGGATGAACCCACGCTCGGTTTGCTCGTTGCAGTCCGTCTTCAATGTCTTTATGGCGACAATGGATTTATCCTCGCCGGGTACAAGGTCTTTAGCCAGTCCAGACCACACCTTGCCGAAGTGCCCCTCTGCTATCTGAGCACTGAATTCCAGCTTGTCGTGTTGTAGTGTTGTCATGCCGTACAGGTCTGGTGAAGTTAGCCAGTATTCGGGGTTGTCTCGCACTACTAGCAATGGCGGGTCGTAGCCCTTCAGGCCAGGACCGACACGCTGCGATGGCTTGCGACCGTTGGGAGGAGAGTCTTCAACCTCCAGGGCGCGGCCAGACCGCGGGTGGAAATCGCCCGTCGACAGCTTTGGGTTTCTTGCGTAGCTGCGTCGGCGCCGATACACCACAAACGCTACCACAGTAGCAACGGTGAGGACGATCAGTGCGCTGATGGTACCCAGTGCAGCTTGCATGCCAGTGGATGATGTGACGCGAGCCGACGCTTCCACTTCCTCGTCGCAAAGGTCATCGTCATCCCCGCACCGCTCCCACCTCATAGCCGGATCACTGGTGTAGCACCAGGTGAAATCTGCCATGCCACCGGGATTGCGGCAGCGGCTGTCCGTAAGCGAGTACTCGTTAATGTGAGGCGATGGAGTATGCGGCAGAGTGAAGTTCCACTTCTGACACGGGCGGTTGCTCTTGGTTACCGTGCGCGATGCTTTGGATGCGCATCGTCGACCAGTCGATATCACTCGGTCTGTATGGATGAACAAGAAACACACACACACACACATGCATGCACATACACATATGTGTACACACATACCCACACCAACACCCACACACGCACATACACATGTATAAACAAACACACACACACACACACACACACACACACACACACACACACACACACACATGCGCATGCACCCAAACGCGCACGCGCACACACACACACACACACATACACACACGCATACACACAGAAGCACACATGAACACAGAAGCACACCCAAACACACAGAAACACCAAAAAGAAACAAATGTCAAGAATGTATCTTGTGACTTCTTCTAGTTTAATTATATTTAGTGGCTCAGTATCCGAGTTTAATGTATCTTGTAGTGGTACATTTCTAAACATAGCAATTCTAACAAGTTCATACAGTATGTTTGTGTATGAACGTTCACATGCACACATACACTATGCTTATGAACACACACCCATGCACGAACACGCACACACATAATGATATTTTTTCCGCCGTGGATATTGTTTGCCTTACGATTGCACACAGTGGATGAAACTCGGATTTGCAAAACAATTACGAATGATCCATTGTCTATTGATATGTGTCATTGCCCCACACCAAGTTGGATGTTGAGCACTCTTTCCTCTGCTGCTGCAGATCCTAGTCCGACAGACTACATGTACATCATGTATCCATAGTGTACATACAAAGGCTGGACCCTCACCTGTGAAACCGTCCATGACGTGGATACATCGTTCGTGCCGATGATGCTCGTGACTGTCGTAACTCCCGTGAGAGCAATCCAGCGGGTCATGGCCGAAGATAGCCTTCAGCTTCTCGCGATAGTCAGGCGACACCGGACATTTGGCGTTGAACTTCTGACAGTAGGCCGTGCACACTTGGCGGGTTTGACCACAGGAACCGGCGGAGTTTCGGTCGCACACCGTGTACGCTTGCAGGCACATCAAGCGCTGCAGGTGTACGGCACACTGTGTGTTGAGCTTTGCCTTGCGTTTGAGATCATGGACAACTGCGTATGGGTCGCGCATGGTGTCGGCGGCGGAGGCTTGCCTTTCGAGCAAGAAGGCGTAGGCGCCTTTCTTCACGCTGTGCGACGCAATCAGTGAAACGTCTCTGCAAAAGTTTCCCTCGTACTTGCGGCAACCTTGAGCTTCAATATCTGTGACGAGCAAGGAAACGAAAAGAATTTGAAAACATTATGAAGAGGCTGAGAGGGTGAGATGGACTAGAAGCGAAGGATCACCTTCGAAACTTATCCCACCTACAGGCAGCAGACCTACCCGGGAAAACTTGCTCTATGTACATTTGTAGCAATGATATAGCCTGCAGTACTTCAGGAGATGGCTCACATTGCGTCTTTCCATGTACACATGAAACTCCCCCCCCCCCCCCCATCCTCCATGCACCCCTCCCCTTACACATATTTTTGGCTATTTTCGGCATGGGCATTTTCGGCCCAAAATTTGTTGCGGCCGAATATTTTTGGTAAGGTTTAGTGTGACAGTGTATACAGGCAGCAGCAGTACAGGCTGAAATTTAAATGCGGCAGAAATGCGTTTTAGCCTGAGAGGCCGAAATTTGGACGCGTCTAAATTTGTAGACATATAGTGTGGAGGGCAGATATAAACTTACCATTTGAACAGCGCGGGATATTGCAGTCACTAAGTGTATCTATTCCAGTGTAACACCACGGTGTGGAGGTCAGATATAAACTTACCATTTGAACAGCGCGGGATATTGCAGTCACTAAGTGTATCTATTCCAGTGTAACACCACGGTGTGCTACTCCTGCCCTCGGGATTGCGGCAATGGTTGGCGACGGTGGCGGACCACGGGTATGTGCTGTTCGGACGGCTAGCGGCAGAGTGCAGCTGCGGATCCCACGGCACACACTGCTCCTGGTCGTGTGTGACCGATGCCACACCTGCGTAGTTACTGCCATCACCACACACACAGTCACCTGAGGATACAATCACGGGCATAGATGCACACACAGGAACACACACGCACAAACACCCGCAAGCACACACATAACGTACAAAAACACAACTTTGCATAAGATAGTGTATTTTAGCACGCATCGCTTTCGTAATGCGCCCAAAAATCATTTCGGAATGAGCTCTGCGTGTCATCAGGAATCTGTCTCCACTTGTACCTTCGGTCAAAAATTCAATGATACAATTACAAGATAGAAACGAGCAGATCACATGCATCTTAGAAACTACCGGCACCGTCCACTCCTTCAACGCTACAAAATAAATCAGGTCCTAACATATTACTTACGGTTTCTAACATTCGTAGGCCGTGCTGCAGGAAACACACACACAGAACCATGGATATCGTATAATAAGCAACAACAGGCACGTGCACAAGTCATACAGTATTCCTCGGACTGAACGCTGAATCCGAAAAACAAGTCGCACTCTCTTTCCCAGTCTATATCATTATAGTTACAATACGATCATGCTTGGATGTACGTTAGTTGCACTTGTTCTTAAACCAGAGGGGGAGGGGGGGGGGGGGGGATATTGTGGAAAAAATCTGCGACTTAAATTCGGGGAAGTGCAGTACACAAACTAAATACTATTGAATCCTGCAAAAGACGCACAATCAACCATGCATATGCCCAACACAGGTAGAACCCATGCACTTTAGTGAATATACTAAGTAATCAGACACCGCTTAGCCGCACACATCCGTTTTCCACAAAAATGATCCGAATAGGTGAGGGAACGGGATAATCGAACACACATACTGTATGCATGCATGACATTATGCTGTAAATCGGTAACCAGCGATTTTCTTCCGGATGGCGAGGGATCCGAAGAAAAGAGGACCGGATAAGCGAGGTCTGACTGTACATTGTACTGATTGTAGGCTGAATGGGAACTGGCTCATGAAGCCAAGCCAAACAAAAATTCGACCAATGTAGAATCTTCTCAAGAAGTTGCTAACACAGTGCATGGGTACGGCAAGAAGTGAGCACTCCATGTACTCTGCACATTGCTTATCTATACTTGAACTCTGCAATAGCACACAACAGTTACTGCTAGTCGACTCACCATATCTAAGAGATGTCACACACTGACTTCTTAAAACGTAGTCTTCATCCTCGGCTGTCGGAGTGGAGCAGTCCAAGTCATTGCCCAAGGTAGTGTTCAGATCTGTGCTCTTGATGTGCAAGATGAGACCGTCCCACTTCGCACTGCAGAACTCCGTTCTGGCACGATAGCAGTCTGAAGCACACACGGGCTGCTTCCAAGACTTTCTGACGTCCGAGTACTGCACTGACGAGGGATCACACGGAGAATACACGTACTCGCAGATCATGCGATGCACCAGATCAAAGCATGCTCGGGACTCGCTGACATTCAGGTGTTCCGTGAGCCGGAGGTACACCCTATTGCGCAACTCCCGAACCTGGCTGTGCGTGACCGGTTCGCCATCTCCGTTCAGTTCTGGCCAGAACACAAACCTATTCCCCAGAAACTGACCGCAAGTGTCGTTACTCTGGTGCAGTTCACAATGTCCACTGGAGCAAAAGGCAACAGGAAGTCCACAACAAAAGTGGGTTTAGGTTGTGCATATTCGCCAAACGCAGATCGAGGAAATGTTACAGTTTTTTAGGCTTCTTGAAATTTAACGTTACGAGCCCAAGTTTCATGCAAAATTCAACAGAAAATAACCATGAACCCAGCAGCCAACTTTAAAAGTCATGATACATTCTCATTGGTAAATACAATGTCATGATTCCTGTGGGCAACACCTGCTATAACCTTCTATTCGTCACTTTTTGTTCACAGTAGAACTCCTAAACAAACAGAGAGGTGCACTAGGTGCAAGAGGAACCTCATTCCACACGCAGCATTAGTCCTTACCGTTGCACTCCTGCAGCCGGGCATCAACCATCGGAGTAGCGCAGGACGCCGCGCGCAGCAGAGATAGAGAACAGTGAACAGTGCACAGAGAAGCAAACACAGGCACAAGCTAGTCAAGTCAACGTGCTCACTGGCCTACGGGAATAGCACACCAACACAAATGTCATTGTATGTTGCACAGGAGGTATACCAACAAGCACTATAGCCGCACATCCTGGCAGAACGATAGTGCTCTGATTCTTGGAATGCTATGAACGATGCTTTATTAAAGTTTGAAACAAGCCATTACTCCACATTGCACTCTTAGCCCACATTCATAGCATCATACTCCACAGCGAGCAAATTGCTTACAATGCTTTTTTAATTAAAAGTGACATGCCAAACTGTTTCGGCATGGAATGCTATGAAAAGTGTTGTGCTGATCAATCGCAGGCACTGCAGAGTATGCAACACATGCCAGCCAGAGTACAACCCCCGAAGAGCTTGCAACTCCCACGCCGCATACCCTGCTGCCGGGGAAGAATTTCAAGTTGGCGTCATCTTTTTGCAATGCTCCTTTGCCTAGTTTGTATCTGATCAAATGCGACTTTGTCCATCACGGGTCGAGGCTATGGCTAATAATAAGTGTATAATACGCATTGTATCAGAAATTACGTCAACTTGAATTTCTGTGGGGACAGCACACACAGCAAAGTTGCACATTCTTGGAAGGGGGGGGGGGGGGGGATTCACTCTTGATGCCACTGCAGATATTCCGATGCGTGCAAGTGCACAGGGCAAGTCTGAGCATTAGTGTTGCTATGCATTGCACTGGAGAGACGTTCAACTGACAGCACCTTCTGCAAAGTCAGTAGGGAAGCGACACTGCACATTAGAAGGGGGGTCAATGGTACAGTATGTTTATAGATCAGCTTGTCACAAGTCATAGAGATACAGTATGTTTATAGATCAGCTTGTCACAAGTCATAGACTTGCAACCCCCTTGATAAGTCTTCCTCTACGAATAAAGACAGTAAGGCAAGGACAAATCCTCAGACCTTTTAGCGTGAACGTTCTTGTTGCAGTTCCTTGAGCAACCGAGCCAACACACGTGACCTTTCCTTCGTGTTCTGGTCTGAACACGTCGATCCCAAACTTAGAGCTTCCCGGGACGGTGTAGTTATAAACTTGAGCACCTGGAATGGTCAAGTTTTCCCAATAGGCGTGCAGGCCTGGGAACTTGCTGCGGAATCTACACGACACCACTGCATTCTTTCCGAACTCCAATAGTGAGGGCTCAAATCTCTCTCTCAGCCGCGAGTCAATAAAACCAGATGAGATAGCTGTAGAAGATAATGCAGCACACATACATACGCACACATACACATGCACACAGACGCGGACACATATGCACATGTTAACACGCATTCACATACACACACAAACAAACATTCACACATGTGAACACACTCAAACAATCACAATAGGGCTTGAAAGTGATACGTCAAAAACGGCCAGGGAGTACTAAGTTGACATCAGATTTCTATTTTGGATCCACTAAGGTGTGACTTTGCTATTGCCTCAGAATGTGGGTGCATAGCAACCCACTCATGTCGTATGCAGGGGTGACTTTTACTTCGCCACCAGTTGTAACCCCGCCCCCAGTAGCCAAATCAGTCAGTTTCACTGGTTACATCACCTTGCTGTGAGTAAGACGGCTTGAAATGTGCTTGGATCCATACAAAAACTGGATCCCACATGCATCCAATTTTTGAATTTTTGAAATTGTTGCTATGCTGTGACGTAGCACTTTCAAGCCCTATAGACAGTCCACATTACACATGTATTGGGGCTACACAATGCACTGGAGGTGCACCAAAAAGTATCAGCAACAGTGTTACTAACCATTAGAAGAACTTACATTACTAGTACTCTGTAAGACATGTTATTAGAACGAGTCGCAAATTTAACGATTGTCCAAAATTCATAGGTTAGCGAGAAGATATGTCAACGATCTTGCAGTATTTTGCCATATCCACACACAACATATGTGAAGCAGTGCGGCCTCAACGGATCTTATCATAACGAAGAAATGTCATCCGTGAAAACGTTAGATTTACTTCCTTGTTATATATACATGTCTTACAGTAATAGAAATTGAAGGCTATGCCTACTAGTCTGCTGCCCAATGAAATACAGTTGCATTCCTCAAGTATACGCAGGGCGTTGCGCAGCCATAGACTTGCGAACACTGGACTGTGAAAAGGTGCAAGGTACAAACTTGAATGACGCGCTTGGATCTCATTGAGCAGGACTGTAGTATATTTTTGCTACTAGATATGTCACTCTCCTACAAACTCACCAGGAAGAACATTGATGACGTAGGCTTTGAGATTGTCCACCTCTCTGTTGTAGCAAACAATCCTACTTTGATTATAGCGTACAGCCGGTGGACCGAGGACAATGCTTGCATTGCCTGTGGTGACCTGAAACGTGTCGTTCCAACTGACGTCCTGTAGATCAGGAAGGTCCAGGCAAGTCAAGCTGAACTCCTCGTGTTCGTAGACGTCCACTTTTTCAGTCGTGCCTGTGTGCAAAACAGAACAGTGACAGAGCAACATACCATGATTGTCAGGAGCAGAAATTCACAAACTCACATGTACTTCATGTTTGATCTCGGGCGTATGGACCGTGCAGGGCATGGTCAGATGAAGCGAATCATAGCTTGGAATACACGGTCAGAGAGAAACAGGTTGTGTCACACTCACACACACGACCCACTCATATACTCGACATACTCACACTCAGAAGAGACCATGACTGTGCGAATATCCAAACAGATTAGCTATGAAAAACTACGGTGTAGTATTTACTTCACAGGTGACTGTGCACAAAATGCGTGTGCAAGTACCTACACTGCACTTGGTTTGGGCGGGGGCGGGGGGGGGGGGGGTAGAGATCGAGGGAGAGAGAGGGAGAGAGCGAGAGAGAGAGAGAGAGAGAGCGAGAGAGAGAGAGAGAGAGAGAGAGAGAGAGAGAGAGAGAGAGAGAGAATCAGTCAGGTAGACAGACAGACACGGAGACACACAGACATTGAGAACACTAGTTATTCAATATCGAGCATCTCCTGGATAACACAGCATGCTCATAAATGCTAATGAAACTTACCAGCCATAATCAACATTGCTTGGGATTCTGCACTGCCTAGTTCATTGCTAGCAGTGCAAGTAACATTGTAGTCCATGTCCACCCTGACTGAGGCTCTGACATGTAGCTTCTTCAAATCTTGGCTGTCTACAAACACCTTTGTCTGGTAGGGAAGACGTCGTTCTATCTCGATTTCATCTCCGTTCACATACCATTTGACCTGAGGTGGTGGGACTCCGGTAACTTTACAGTTGAATTGAACCTGTTTACCGGCGCTCATGAAGAGGTATGGGCCTCCCTTGATCTCCGCTGTTGGACTAGTGTGTGCTGATGTTGCGCAAATATGCAAATACACAAGCACACAAATAAAAAGAACACATACATACATACACACGCGCATACACACACACACATTCAGATAGAAACAAACACACACGCATACACATGCCATGCACACGTACATCCACATACAATCCACATACAAACAAACACACGCGCACAAGCAAACACACACACCAAAAAAGGATTTAATTAGACATTGGGTTATGAAAAATAATAGAACTAAGTTTAAATTTAAATTCTCTGATTCCACTAGCGCCTTACCACACTATATCAAGAACATTCATTGAGTTTTTGTAATCATTGCTGTCTGATGATCGCCACAGGCGTGAAACTCTGAGTCACAGCCAACCCAAGCTCCGTATCCCATTCTATTCTTTTTGAAGTAAGTTTCCATAACCTAACCTAAAATGCTACAAGGAGAGACTCGGATGGAGAGCCAATTATTAATTCATGATAGTAAAAAAAAGGACCAAGGAACTACAAATTACTCTATAATGTTCACTAACGACACCAGTTACTTGACAATCAGCTCATGCGATAACAATTCGCACAACTGAACGAACGGAACTGACGTTCTACAAGTAACTGGCTATCAGCTCTAGCACGTCTTGGGTGCGCACTCCAACGGCCTTCCAACTTTGAAGGTTCTAAGCTCTTCGATAACATAGGAGGCAAAGGTGAGCGCAACCAAGACAAGCACAAGCTGAAAGTATCAGCTGTGAAGAACGTTGGCTGATTGTCAAGCTGATTTTCAATTAACTGGTGGTGTTAGTGGACATTATAGCGTAACTTGTAGTTCCTGGGTCCTTTCTTTACTATAAAACGCTACAAGGAATTGGAATACTGACCACTGACATAAAACAATTGATAGGGAACTGTCATTTGCACAAGCAACCTCAACATCCACAGATTTCATGTAGGTTGTGCAAAGCGTTCGCGATGGACCATGGCTCCTACCTAAGCACGTTGGTTGGTGCTGATCCCATTTGGATGTGGTGTGCACACATTGCCGCTCGTATGTTCCATTCAAGAAGAAGCCTTCCTTGCAAGAAAATATCGTTTTACCGTTCGGGGTGAGACCATCAAGGACCTTTGCAAAGCCATTCTTTGGTACTGGCAGTGGCCGGCAATAGATGATTTTCTGAATGCAGGTTCGAATGCGGTCGTATTCATTCCACACATCGAAGCAGGTGAAAGGGCGTACAATACCATAGTGCATGTTGGACCAAGAGAGTATGGCGATCTTTTTGTTCTGGAGAGTCTTGAGCGAGTCCACGTCGAACCTTTGCAGTTCCATGTCAGGTTGTGGTCGTCCGCGAATCAAGCATTCCACTGTCTGGTTGCTACCGGCAACCACAGTCAGCGTTGTGTTCTCACATTCAACAGATGGTAAGACTGAGGGAGGAAAACGCATGAGAAAAAACAACAACAAAGACCAGTCACGGCGCTTCAGTAAATCTAACATGCCACCAAGCCTTTGTTGGCCTATTCAGCAAGCTTATTGAATGAGGTGCATACGCCAACGTGTTTAGCCTTTAGGAGCTTGCATCAAGAATGCTAACACCCAACGGAATGTTCAATGTTCTAAGGAACCGAACACTAAACAGGCACCATGCAGGTCTAGATTATTTACATGCATACCTAGATAACTCTGGGTGCATTCATAGATATACAAAAACACTTCCCACATCGCTTCCAGCTCTGTATCTGCCCGGGATTTCAGATTGGTGAGGACAACATGTCATTCTCCACTTACGATCGGTACGGAATTCTTCACGCCTGCCTGTGGAAGAGTGGTTGGGTCCGTTGTACGTCTTGCTTCGTATCTTGTACGCCTGGTCTTGATCCAAACCGGTAATATTGACTTGTCCCTCCTCAGCCGGGTTGTCGATTTCGGTGGGTGTGGGATTGGACGCAGCTCCAGTCAGTTGTATGATGATCTTGGTGACATTGGCCACGTTGTACTTCAAATGTACTACCTGCAACTTCCAGCCGAGCGTAACCCAAGAGAGTCCCTTGGCCAGCACAGAGATCACACCCGTTTTGGGAACCGACACCTTTTTGGCCATCTCTTCAATCAACGGTCTTCGATCAAAGCCATTGAGTTCCGGTGGGTAGACTACAAAAAAGCACAAAAATAACGAAAAGGAACTTTCAAGCTAACTCCAGTTGCCATGTGAAAGTCAGACAATAATATGGTGCAACTGAGAAATCTGCCGAACAAAAATAGTGCCCAAATGTTCTCCCTTTTCTATTGAATTGTGCCGTTCTTGTCCATGCATGTGCATGCCCCCCCCCCCCCATGTTGTGGAATGTGAGATATCTCTGAGAAGACTCTCACTCGGAAACTTACAGATTTTGACATCGAATGTTTTCTTGACGATGAGCAGTCCTTCTCTATCGTAGACTGCACAGACATACTCCCCGTTGAGCTCC